GTACCTGTGGAGGCCTCAGCAGAGAGCACCGGTGTTCTATAGCCCCGGATCACCCCATAGATGGAGACTCTATAAGGAGTGGCAGCCTTGAGACCTGGAATGTCCACAGCCCTCAGGCTGCCGGGCACCGTGAGGTTCTGAGCAGCTTCCACCTTGTTGGCTTCCTGCACCTGAATGACAAAGTGCTCATAGGCCTGATCAGCTGCAGTCCAGTTGAGTCTGAGGCCATCCCAGCCAACCTCAGACACGGCTAAGTCTCCCAGCTGAGGGAGTTCCTCTGAAGAAGGACAGAGAGGTATTTGTCAGTGCTGCAAATCAAACATGAAGAAATAAAGTCCCGTGGCCCATATTTAGGAAAAACAGAAAGAGGGGAGAGAGAGAAAGAAAGAATTTGCTGTTTGGTAATTCCTAGTCATTGGGCACATGTAGGCTGAGCTTAGTATTTTATAGCTTTCTTCAGAAGTTGAAAATGGTCAAATATGGAGAACATCTGTATTGTTCATCCTTGAGGTGGCAGAGAACACCATTGTACAATCTACCTGGAAGTACTTGATCATGCAACAGCTAAAGGGCACAGGAAAAGGGGGCAGGTTGGGAGTCAGGACCAGGGGAGTGGGCATAGTGAGAAGTACAGACTTCTGAGGTAGACAGATCTTGGTTAAAATTCCAATAGTAACATTCACTGGCTGTGTCATCTTGGATATGTAACCTGCTTCTCTCTGAGCCTCATTCTCTCTATATTTAAATGGCGCTGACAGGACCACCTGATTGGATTGTGTGATGATTAAATGACAACATTTATCACCTCTTCGTATCATGCCAGATGATATAGAAAGCATCACTGCTAGTCGTCTCCCCTTGGAGCTTCTTTGGTCATGTGGGAGAGACTCGCCTGCTTCATTTCATTGCTTGAGATTAGAAATCATGCATTGCTGGGCACATGCTGTCTGCTTGGGTCTACAAAGCGTATGCTGTCTCAGGTTTGAACAAGCATGTTTTATCTCTAGACTTTTTTGGCTTTCAGGGGTCAGAGGTCATGCCCTAGATTCTTGGGGTGGTTCTCCCCTCCCACCTGCTTCTGCTAGCACTTTGAGTGAGGAAAAGCTGTGTCACAAGCAATGTCGTCCATGTGAAATGAATGTGCTGCCTTTAACTAACAGTGATTACATCTTTCTCAGTAAATGGTGCAGAGCACGGTTCACCATTAATTTTTTTTTTTTTTTTTTTTTTTTTTTTTTTACAATGTGGGAAGGAAATTTAGTGTAGTTTTTACTGCTTATTAATTTTGAAATGAGAGCATGGAAAGCTCCACTGTTTTGTGAGATGCTGCTCAAGGTTATGTGCAATCCCTCAACCTGTCTTAAGGCATAAGTGGCCACAGATTTGAAGTTAAAGAGGAAAATGTCTGCAGGGGTGTCATCAATAGAAAGAGAAAGAAAGAAAAAAAGAGAGAAAGAGAGAAAGAGAGAGAAATGAAGGGAGAAAGAAAGAAATGAAGATAGAAAGAAAGAAGAAGGAAAGAAGGAAAGAAGGAAAGAAGGAAAGAAGGAAGGAAGGAAGGAAGGAAGGAAGGAAAGAAAGAAAGAAAGAAAGAAAGAAAGAAAGAAAGAAAGAAAGAAAGAAAGAAAGAAATATAGATAAGGGCATCATGTTCTCAGGTGTCCCAGGATTCGTGCATTATGAGTCTGAGAAAGTTCTGCTTTTTAGGGGGCTGTTTTCAAACTGTGTCCCACACATACCTGCATCTTCTGGAAGGATTGTTTTGGGGACAGATGTAGGTTTGCCCCCTCGTCTTTTCTAGCTCACTGAGAATAGCTTTTATCTGTCATGCAGAAGTGTTCCTGGGAAGATTTCATTTGCTAAAGAAGTCTGTGGCTTAAAAACAAAATTTTGTAGAACTACAAATGTGGCTCAGTAGTGTCCTGTACTGGGATCACACGTGTCTCAAAGGTCCATTTTACTCTTGTTTGCTCTGAAGCTGGTCGAGAAACACAGGGCAATGGTAATCTGGTGGGCTCATGTATGCTCATATGACCATAGGCCTCTTTAAAGCTATTTCTAGAGCATACGGTTTTCTATGATAGATTAAGCAGCATATTTTCAGGGGACAAATTGAGATAAATTGTTACTTTTTTTCTATCCATGTTGAGTGGAAAACACTGAACTCAAATGTGCTGTCTTTTCTTGGAAATGTTCTTGCCTTGAGAAACTGTTAAGAGATAGATGTGAAAATTTCAGCAAAAGATTATTACATCGTTCCCAAAGGTTATTCTGTAGAGACCAGATTAGGAGTTGGGTGTGAGTTAGTGACTCTGAGATCAGGAGTGATAAGCTTCCTCTAGGAAGTTCTGATTGTATCCTTGTGCTATGGCCCTACTGCATGTGTTGTTTTCTGTTGTGACTGTTGTTATATGATACATTTTACTATTTGCTATTCAATACTACAGGGTGCGTAGGGTACTCTGTTAAGTACTTTTATTCATAAATTCATTTATTGCCTTTGACAGTATTCTGAAGTGAGGATATTATCTTGATTTGAAAATGCCAAAAGAAGCCCCAGAGATGTAAAGCGATATACCCAAGAATATTCAGCCAGTAAAGTGGAATTCTAGCCAAGGCCTTCCTGAGTCAATCACATTAAGGTTGGACACTCTGCCACATGGGAAATTTCTAATCCAGGGACAGCCTGGATTCTATCACATCTCTGGGCTAGAAGAAGGGTCGGATACCTGTGGAAACCTCAGCAGCAAGGGGTCGAGTGCTGCGGCCCCTGACCTCGCCGCGTAAGGTGATCCTATAAGCAGTGCCAGCCATGAGGCCTGGGATTTCCACAGAGCGCAGGCTGCCAGGAACGGTGAGATTGTGAGCCCCTTCCAGCTGGTGGGCCTCTTGGACCTCAATGACAAACTGGTCATAGGTCCCATCTGGTGTAGTCCAGTCCAACTTGAGGGCATCCCAGCTAACTTCGGTCACTGTGAGGTTTCCCAAACTTGGAACCTCCTCTGCATAAGGACACAGAGTCACTGAGTTACTAAAAAAGGCAATTGCACGTTGGGATTCAGGTGAGATGGCATTTTGGCTAAGGCTGGGCCGAGTTGTCTGGTTAGTGTCGATTCCAGATGCAAGATTTACAGCCGTGTTGAACACACACTCATTGTTGGCACTGAAGCCAGGACTTTTCTATTCAGCCTTTGGGAATGAAAGATGGTTTTAGTAATTGTTCACAGCTTCCATTCTTGACATACAAATAGGGCCTTGGGGAGTCCTTTAGCGTTCCTAAAATGAGCTCAGAGCTATTTTTTTTAGTAACAAGTTATGCTTTCCAGCTTCTTAGATATTATGACTAGAACTTTCTTTGTAAGAAAAGTCACCTCTCGCTTTTCAAAGGAAGAGAAGTTGGAATTTTCCATGGAACTGTCTACTGGGCCATGACTAGAGCTTGGCCAAATAAGGGATGTGACATTTGGGAAGAAGCAAGGATGAATCACTGGTATTTCCCCCAACACGGTAGGGTGCTAAACCCAATTTGGAGCTTTGATTCCTCCTGAAGAGAGACAAGAGAGACAGAGCAGATGAGTGAAATAATCTAGAATACCTGTCCAGACTTCAACAGAGAGAGGAGCTGTATTGAAATCCTGAGTGAGCCCACGGATGGTGACTTTATAGTGAGTGGCGGCTTTGAGCCCTGGCAGGTCCACGGACCTCAGTCCTCCTGGGACTGTGAGGTTCTGGACCGCTGTTACTGTGTCAGCCTCCTGCACCTGAATAAGAAAGTGCTCATAGGCCCCTTCTGGAGCAGTCCAGTTGAGTTTGAGGGCATCCCAGCCCACCTCGGCCACCGTGATCTCTCCCAAGTTGGGAGATTCCCCTGGAGAAGGACAAAAAACTAGTTTACATCGCATATCGAGACCCAGGAAATCTTGAACACAAAGCTTGATATCACTTCAAAATGTGACTTTCGATAAATGTGTGTCATACAACTTTCTAATTGCTGAAATAGAGCACAGGGAGATGTATGGGGAAACACTTGTTCTTTTACCTTATGAGAGAATTGTCCTAAATATCAGTAGACAAAGAGATTTATTTAGGGACCTTTTTTCTTTTTTAATAGAGTGTTGAAACATCTCTTAACAGGAAGGAGCCTGTTTTGGAGAGTAATGTCCCCTCTCCAGGCTAGGTAGATTGTCCCACAGAATGGCCTCTGCACAGCTCCAGAGAGTGCTCCCAGGGAAGGAAATGATATGGTGGTTGTGGAGCTGTGTAACCTGATAGTCTGGCTGTCCGTTATCAGATCCCAGGGTACTATTACTTGTGGCAGAACAGGTCCCTTTGTTATGGTATGGATTAAAAATTCCTCCTGAGAGACTCATGAGTTCAGATGGGGAGCCTTTGGAAGATGATTAGATCATGGGGGGGGGCTATACTCATCCGTGGATTAATTCATCAATGAGCTCACATTTGAATGTGCTATTAGAAGCTGGGTCCTGATTGGAGGAAGGAAGTCACTGGGAATGTGACATGGAAGGCTGTATCCTGTCCCCAACACCTTCTTCTTTCTCTGGCTCTTCCTTGCCCTCTGTTTCTTGCTCACCATAAGGTGTGCAATTTTCCTCTGCCACACCCTTCTGTCATGACCTTCCTGCCTTGGAGCCAGCTGATCTTGTACTGAGACCTCTGAAACTGGGAACCAAAACAGACCTCTCCTCTTTCATGGTGTGTATGTCAGGGATTTTATCCCAGCGGTGAAAAAGCTGATGAGTGAACCCTACCAAAGCTAGGTGTGTCTGATTGTCCTCGGGCAGGTTCCTGTGGGGAAAAACAGAAACTTTAAAAATAAACGTAGGAAGTACCTGTGGAGGCCTCAGCAGAGAGCACCGGTGTTCTATAGCCCCGGATCACCCCATAGATGGAGACTCTATAAGGAGTGGCAGCCTTGAGACC